GCATAGCATCTGGCATAACGTTCACATTTTTCGTTTCTTGGTTCATCGATAACGCAGGAGCACACAACCCGAGAAATTCTGACACAGTGATGCCTTAAACTGCTATATTTAATGCTCTTGTTAAAAAATAAATTTTGTCATTGATTTCGAATTTGCTCATCGTATCTCAAGCGAAGTTTTCCCTGTGCCCCTGAACTAACGATCACTAATAGATAAGGCGTGCTACGAGGCCGTTAAGAGGTAAAAACCCAAGTACGTGATACCACGAACGTTACATTACACCAGATAAATGATTTATCAGCAATACGATAGCGGAATTTGTCAAGAACAGGACAGGAAAGCAAACCGCAAAAAAATCGATCCTTATCATCCTAGATATAAATGGTTAGGGAGAACAGGGACTAATTTTATCTTCTAGAATCCTCAGCTCTCAGGAATTGTACACATTTGTCTGAGCGCCATTTATACCAATTTTAATGTTAGCACACAACATTCCTGGCACACATAAGCAAGTCAAATGTATTTTGGATGGTTAAGGTCACCAAAAACCCACAGCGAAGTAGCCGACTTTATGGTCACTATGATGAATGGATGAATAGGTCAAGCGGTACTAATGCGTTGATGAGGTGTGTGAAAGTGTACCACAATAGTGGCAGCAGAGCGTGATGGATACAGTGGAGAGTAAGGAGTTCAAACGAACACGTTAGCCACTAACAAAGAATGACTGCAGTCTGCATGCATGTCTTCAACCAATCACCTCAAACTCCCTAACAAGTCAAATTATAGCTACCAAAAGAAATGTCGAAAACAACAATTCAAGGTTTGTTACCAACCGAATCCGATGGTGTTCACTGTCAAGAAGCTTCCTCCCTCTCTTCATATGAAGACAACCGAACCATACCTTAGTCTAAATATCGAACAATTGCATACGAGTCCCAACTCTGCATTCTATTTTCGGATTCCACTATGCCCAACAAGACTGCTTCAGTTATTTTATGTCACTGTGATCTCTTAGAAATGAAAATCGCCATCCTGGCATTTGTTTAATGAACCAGATATTTCATGGAGTGAGTTATAAAGGAAGTGAATTAGATGTTGTGGGGAATTTTTGTAGTTATTCGGAATGCCTGATAATGCTGAAATTTGTGACTTCCGACGGCACTGCTACAACACAGAACACACACACATACATACAAATACATACATACATACATACATACACTTACTTCTCGCAACAACTTTGGTAGCAGAGGAATAACACCGGATGTCAAAACCACCGTTCGCCACAAGTTCACTCCGGCCTCAGTCAGGTTTACTTGGCTTTAGCCGGCCTCTCCGGTATTTAGCGGTTGGCCGATGATTGCGCAGCTGCTACGTTTGCGTGGAGTTTGGGCGTACGTGTGCCTTGCAAATGCTCTCGATGGTCTCGATGCATTAGCGGCTGTTTTTCTTCCTATTTTTGTTTGCTTCCGACGACTTCTAGTGCTAACAGAGTGGTGCAATGTTTGCAATAATTACGTCGCCATATGTTCCTTTTACATTATTGCCTGGCTTGTACGCTTCCACAGAGATATACTCTTGATAATCATACCAAAATAAGCATCCGAGATGCTCATATTTGGCTTTATTGTCAGCATGGATATGTTATGACAGTTTTTGCAAAAACTCAGCTTTTTATAACAACATTTTACCACTTCTGTGGCTTTTGATTAGGTAGAATTGTTAATATTGTTTTCGAGAATTCGACATTGTACCCCTTATTGCTGATTTCCTGCACGTCACCAGCTAGTAGTGGTACACTGATTTTTCTTCGTGTTCCCAGTGCATATGATGGTGTAGCTAAGCTAACTCTGTAGTCAGTCCGCTTATATACTCACGTGGATACCATAGTTCCAATGAAACTGTAATTACCGTTCTTGGACGGAATTTATTATGTAAATTAGAACAGATACATTTCGTTCGTTTTATGTGAAACTCACCCAGAAATATGGTTTCTTGAAATATGGTAAGTACACTAGTTATGAATTCATGGAAAGCTTTATTTGTGCACTTATCCTATCTCATTTATTTATCTCTTAACCGGTAAAAAAAAAGTCATATATATATATATATATATATCTGTTCATATTTCTATGTTAACTTTTTATAAAAGGACAAAATGCTTACACCTAAACTTATACCTTAC